AGCTACTAGGCAGGCATCTGTTATGTTTCCGTCATAGCTCAAACACATCATGTCAACATACAGGACCCATGATAACTGTAACAAAAAACAGGGATACAATTTATTGTATACGTAAGAAATAACTAGACTGGGGGTATTGAAGGGGAAATAAATAGGATAAAAGGTTTTTCTTTTGAGTGCTATGAAAGTGGTTCTTGTGTATTTTTGTTACAAATTCTCTTCACTATGGTCAGTGGTGTCTGGGTTGTGTTCTGAGAGGTATTTGCTTTGCCGAACATTCTATGGTAGCAGCCTTGTCCCAGGGCACTCTCTCCTTAGCAAGCACAAAGATCCTGGGAACAAGTTCAGGTGTGTGCCATTTGGTGACATCACCACTCAAGATAGAAACAGACTGAAGGGTTCACAGGGCAAAACCATTGCTACACAGTAGTTATTTTGGAGGTGTTAATTCCCTTTTTTTATTTACATTTCCTTAAGTTTGTACCCTCCCCTTCCAACTTTAAAGAGAGCAGTATAGCCACATATTCATAAACATAAGAAAGTCGGACATTTAAATTTAAGCCATGATGTTGAGCACCGCATTTCTTACCTTGCCTTCCACAATACATAACTCCTCAAGATTGATGGGTTCACAGCTGACGAGGCAAATGATTCAATAATTATTACATCAATAATGATTAATTAATTAATTAAATAATACAGTTTCTGAAGCTGGCCTTCTCATTTGACTCAGTTCAAAAATGCCACTTTTATTGAGGAACACTCAACCCTTATTTAGTTAAGGACGTCTTCTACTTACTTTGAGATGACATCTGCAACAAACTGGCTGAGAACTTGCGCCTGTTCACTAGGAGGACCAGGACGAAAACGTGACGAACAAAGAGGAGGGAGATCTACATTGGGAACTGGATTAAAAATCACAATTATAATGAAACACTACTTTATAAACTGTCCCATTGTGTCACTACAAAAAAATTAATACTGATCATAATTATAACAATGCATATTTAACTATTGAAATTTATACTTTTGTAAATTTGATTAAAGAACAGTGACTAGGAAGATCTACATGTACATCAGAAAGTGGATTAATTAAAATGCAACAAGAGTAAAATATTGAGCACGTGTCCTATTACCCGGCACTTTTCCAAACTGATCATCAAGTATAAATAAAATAAAGTGCAACTTCATCTTTAAGTGGATATATGTGTCAATACTTGCAAAGACTATCTATACAATCATTATTTTTTACAAATTGTAAAAAATACAAAATAATTGAAAATCTTTGACTGACCAATAAATCCATGTTTTGGATTCTCCTGGCTTGGCACAGCAAATTCCTAAGGATGAAAACCAGAAGGGAAACTGATATTAGTATGAACATTAATTTTTGTGAGTTATGTTTCCTTCCTATTTATTGTTTTATGTATTGTCAAACACTAGCTATATGTTTCACAAGTGGTTAAGAAATAAACTTGTGTCTTCATTTTATGGGAGGTGTGGTGGCCTCGTGGTTAGTGTGCTCGACTCCGGATCAAGTGGTCCAGGTTCAACCCCTGGCTGGAGACATTGTGATGTGTTCTTGGGTAAAACACTTTACTCTCACAGTACCTCTCACTACCCAGGTGTATAAATGGCCAAATTCAATGGTGGAGGTAACCCTGCGATGGACTAGCATATCATCCAGGGGGAAGTAGAAACACTCCTTGATGCTTCAAGCTACTGAAACTGGAGAAAAGCACCATCCTGACTTCACAATTTTTTTAGCTGTATTTTACCCTGGTCTGCAGTCTGCAGTTGACATGCAGTTCACAGCCTGCATTTCACATTGCCTTCTTTTCTAATGTCATTTCTATGGTCTATAGGAGTGAAGACCATGATAAAGCTGGTTGATTAACTTTTTTACAATCAGAAATTGAAAATCTGACTATCTGCAATCATGTTTTGCTCTAATTTATTTTTAGTTCACTATTATTAAGTCTTTAAAGTACACTACAATTATACTAACTGCCTTGACTCCACAAACAACTGTTGTATTTCCAAGTTTGACCAAAGCCGAGCCTTCAGCTGTCGATATTGAACCTGAAAATATTGATTGAAAAGATGGTTAAGCTAACATACTTACAATACGGTAGTCTTACCTGTTATTACCAAACATCTCATGCAAAATTAGAATACATGTAAGACATGTAAGCTGATTGTCTTACCAACATTAAGAATCGTTTTCCTGAATTCCAAAAGTGCACGACCATCTGGTCTCACATCCTCCTTCTACAAATAATCGGCAGAAAGTTTAAAGCCTCATAAGTTCTGTTTCTACGAATTATAAGTTAACTCTGCTTGGGATCTTAACTTCACCTGACGTAAGTTATTTCTGCGTAAAACGGTAACAGAACATTACTATAGTAAAAGATCAATCATCTTACCAGAAATTGCCTGTAATATTCTAAAGGTTGCGCAGTCCTAGAGGGCAGAAAGGAAGGTAAATAACCAAATGAAAAGCTACATGACGAGAAAAACATGTGCATAGCTTACTTAAAATCGGCCGCCATTTTGATCGATCGTGAGATTGGTACTAGCCGCTTGCTTGCAGTACGGCAGACTCAGATAGCTTTACCCCATCCCCGAACACTTTTGGTAAAATAGACTAAAACTTAGCCCCTCCAGGCCCCTCCCCCTTGCCACTTTAAAATCATCACATTTCTAGTCCAACTTGTCCAGACTTTTCCACCATACCGTAAAATTCCGAAGATAAGCCCCTCCGTGTATGAACCCCTCCGTATAGAAGCCCCCCAAATCTGAAACGCAAAAATACTTCTATTGTAGCGAATGCCAAGACTCAACAGGCCGTTCTTTGAAAACTTCGCAAGTTTATTTTAAGATTACAAGGTTCCTTTTCCTCTCTCGCTCTGACTGTGTGCTTGTACTAAAAGACTCAACACACGGCACTCCTTAAAACTTACCGAAACCTAATTTGATTGGCTTACAACCCTTTCTAAACAGTTT